GCTGGGATAATCGTGAGTTGACTGCGTGACAATCGTCTGTGCAAGAGGATCGCCGGACGGCATGCCATCTGGCAAATGATATTGAAAATTGTGAACCCAGAGGTGGACAAGCGGCCTGGGGTAATAGTGCCATCACCGACACTCAGCCAGCACCGCTGACATCCTAGATTCGAAACTGGGTTTCAGCGGTCCGTGATTAAATTACCTTTTCAATTGTGGTGAACTTTAAAGGCGGCTAAAGCTCGGCCACCGAGAGATGACCGCACGTGAAAGTCAACAAAAAAACCAAGGTTACGTTTAACAAGGTTACTTACATAGCATCAGTATGGGATGACAGCAGGGTGAATGACGCTCTATAAAATGAAAGTGCTATTATTACTACGTCATCTGCAAGTAGGGTTTGTGACTGCGCAAGCAAATGTGGCACGTTCCAGCGAGTACGATTGAAGGGTTTTGTTTTGATTGCCATCTGACGCAAACGAAAAAATATTTGCAGGACTCATAAAAAGGTAGAGCGCTTTTGGAGTGAATTCAGAAGTGGTTCTGTGACAGAGCCTTTTTGGGGGGCCATTCCCTGAAAAGAAAAATGTGGCCTACTGCTCACAGAGAGATGCTCTCAGTTGACAATCCTTTCTTTTCTCTCTCTCGATCGAGAACTAATTTCTTTAGGACTGATTTTTGTGCTTAGTTTGTTGTTCTTCCCACCACACCTCTGATTAGCTCGGTTGGCTACGTACGGTGCGAAATAAGTCCGACATGCATGCAAACGCACATTATGACATGGCGTTGACAGCATAATTAAATACAAATTTATTCACAGACCTTTTCCAGTAAACGTACGTTGACTCAACGTTGGCTCATTGGTCCAAGTTTTCCGGGTTGTCAGTCCAATTGTTGGATGAAGGCCTTCCAAAGACGTGTTCGTCATGGCGGTTTTGTTTTTTACCATAGGGGCCGTCCATAAATGACGTTACGCACCTAGGGGGGGGGGGGGGGTCAGACATTTGTGACGATGTGTGACGAGGAGGGGGTGAGAAATGTGACGTCACATCAAAATGCGCAACTTTAAATAAATATAGACAACACGTTCTACTTAATTAAATAGACTTTTAATAAATGTTTCCTCCTACAACATCAGAGTGCAGCGGCACATTAAATACGCACTACAATGACAATAGTTTAAAGCGATTTGAAACATGTTTTTTTGTTTGGGGGGGGGGGGGGCTAGCTTTGTGGTGACGTCATATTTGATGGGGGGTCTGACTTTTTTTGACGCCGTGTGACGAAGGGGGGGGGGGGGGTCTAAAATCGTCCAAAATCGCATGACGTCATTTATGGACGGCCCCATACTTCACCACGCTGGTCAGTGTGTGGGTTGGTGAACTTTCAGCTCTCACTCACCGCTGAAATTCGCTGCGGAGTCAGGTTCAGATTACTGGGTTCGCCGCGCACTGTCCTCAACACTGCGCCATGGTGCCGGGATGTTAACTAACTCGCCTGGTATACAGGAGGTCGTGGGTTCGATCCCAATCCATATGTCTGTGTTTTCGGAGTTTGCATGTTCTCCCCGTTGTCACGTGGATTTTTCTCCGGGTCCTCCGGTTTGTCTCTCCACATTTCGAGTCATGCGTTCAGAGTATTTGGCTGCTATACATTTTCACATCATACGCCACTTCATTGCGCTATCGTTTGTGGCCATGTCGCCTCTGAAAAGAAGAGCTATATAGCTCAGTGGGCTTTACCTGGTAAAACAAAACATTGTTTAATTGTTGAATAGTTTTAAAAGCACGCTGCAAGCTAAAACACGCACACAAGGCATTCTGCCGATGCACCTGAGTAATGCAGCAAATTGGATGGTGGCTTGGTGGATTAGAAGGATATGTAGATGATAATGATGATGATATTAACAATTCTAGCCAGTAAGACCTCACTGAGCCTCAAGATTATGATTCGGTCGGGTGCTGCATTGGGATTATTCGTCGAATTCTATTTTTTGTCATAACTCTTTTACATGTTTAAGTATCCAGGGAAAATCCACCGATGCTTGACGCTCGGAAATCCATACGGATATGAAAGTAACCTTGTTAAACATAGTTGTGATTATAATTCAGTGTAATAGCACAGTTGGCTATATACAGTGTGAAATAAGTTCAACATACATACGGGAAAGTGGTGATGCAGTGGTTAGCGGACTGCGCTATGGAACTACAACAATTAAAATATGTTTTATTGTACTAGCTAAGGCCCACTGAGCTATACAGCTGTTTTTCAGAAGCGACCTGGCCACAAATGATAGCTCAACAAATCGGTGCATTATCATGTGGAAATGTATATCAGCCAAATACCAATAATAAGGTTTTTCCCCCTTTTTTCTGGCAACAAAACTGAAACCTTTTTACAAGGAATCATGTGTGCAAAACAAAAAACACACTGATAATATATGCATTGTCCTAAAAATATCTAAATTTATTAGTCCTAAAAATAGCCAAATACTCTAGACATACGTTTCTAAATGTGGAATGAAAAACCGGAGGACCCAGATAAAAATCCACGCGACCACGGGGAGAACATTCAAACTCCAAATATACAGGCGTCAGTCAGGGTGGGTACCGAAACCACGACCTCTTGTAGACCAGGCAAGGTAGTTAACATTTCGCCATGGTGGCGCCCTTCTCGCCACGCATGAACGCAGTGGCCATATCCAACATCAACAGCAACAATTGATTTTGAATCTGCACTGACAGTGTGGTGAAGTAGGGTCAAACCATCGCCACAACAGGCACGGCGTTGAGAATACCTTCAACCGGTCATGACTCAACAGGCCCATACATTCAATTATTGCTCATTGTTCACGGTGTCTCGGCACGCGTGAGTCTCTTTCAAAACTAACGGCATTGTTGTGTCACCTTCGCACGAGGCTGCGTTAATGGACCTCAAGATGTCGTCAACAGTGAATTGGAGACCCCATTAGCTCGATTTGTTTTTGGCAAAATTTGCTACGAGTGGAATGAATTTTGCCTGGAATTTCGACCTACACAAATGATCAACATTGAAGTTACCCCGAGGACCCAATATGCCGTAATGTAAAGCGTCGCTCCACAATTTAGGCCATTATTCCGTCTCCCGCCGCGCGTATAAAAATATAAAAATAGACGAACAAATAAATTGGACGGCGCGCTCGTAGCGTGTAATTTTCCACGCGTAACAGCACGTCCAGGGGAGCGTTTACAAAAGTGCGTCAAGGTTGAAATTGCAATAAAAAAAGGACGCGTTATGCGCCAGGGAAGTGCTTCTCGTGGTTGGTAACGTGGCGCGTACCGCGGAGAACGCACTTGCGGCGATCCGCTCACTGTCACCGTCTCTTCATCGCCCGCCTTGTGACTCCATCTGGCGGGGGTCAAACGTGGGCTGGTCGCAATCTGTCTGGCTGCCGTCAAGAAGGAAAGGCAACAAATTCCACCGATGGATGCCACCCAAACATGCCCTCTGTTCGGCGGTGATATTGTACAGCCCATTTGGCAAGCCGCTGCTAGATGAGGGCCTCCCGACGCTGTGTCAGTCATGAGGCTTGTTTGACCATACGTCACCACGGTGGTTAATGCAGGTTGGTGAAATGTGGATGGGCAGGACTAGGTCAGATATCACTCGTTCGCCGGTGTGAGTCAAGGCTGAGAACCGAATGCGGGTCGCCAGGTTCACAGTGCAGTTAACTAACCACGGCGCTACTGCTTCGTTTGGCTATGACAGTAGCGCTCAAAACGCGACGTGCAGTCACGGAGGCGATTCACGACTTGACCGAGCTGGTCAGGCGGCTTAAACGGAGGTCACAATCGCCGCCGTGTCATAGCGTGGGACCAGCACTGCTGAAATCCTGGGATTCGAGTTCAGGCCAACAACACAATAATATCAGAGGTGTCCCCGATATTGATTCTTAAGCTCGCGACCTCCATGACCAACGCAGGATTTTCAGTATTTAATCCAGGTGGTGGATTACCCTCAACTCCAGCTCTTTCTGCTGCTCGTCACTGAGGGCCTTTGCCTTGCAACTGTCATTTCGAACACAAGCACACACAAAAAGTGACCGTGGCCAAATAAGCCCAGAATTTGCCCGATCTCATCATGTCTCAGACCGCTATGCAAGGTTGAATTTGGGGTTGGAACACCCTCAAAATGTGTTTAACTATTTTTTTTTTACCAGGTAAGGCCCACTGAGCTACGTAGCTCTTTTTCAGAGGCGACCTGGCCACAAATGATATCTCGACGGAAGAGGCGTATCGTCACGTGGAAATGTATCACAGCGACTAAACTGGGTCCCTCAAATTGTAGCGAGCTGATGCTCTCATCCTGCAGCCCGGTGACCAATGACTGCACGCAAACAAACTAAACTGCCCCACCATGTTAAATTGACTTTTGCACTCAGCTAAATTCCAGCTCTGCGATCGTACGTGCATGCAGAGTCATTTATTGATTGATAATCCTGTACTCATCGATTCACTCCAATCACTCACTTACCAGAGGTCAGTTGCATTACTTATTGCTCATCTACTTACCCACCCTCTCACCGCACCGCAGGTCACAACATTTCACATCTGGTTATTCCCTCGTACTGTTCCACTTGAGACTTCCCTGCCATAGTCTCCTTCACAACCTTGCTCAATTGAACAAAGTATTCACTCCTATGTACCACAACTTTAATAGCGCTGATTGTCGCTGGCTGCTCGGCACTTTCCAGCCTGTATTTGAGCAACCGCGAGCTGAATAAAAACTTATGCTCAACTAAACTATTTTTAATTTCACCAGGTAAGGCCCACTCAACTATGTAATAGCTCTTTTACATAAGCGACCTGGCCGCAAAAATTCTATCTCAACGAATTGACATTTACAACAGCAGCCAAAACAATGAAAGTCATCAAAAAACTGCTTTTATTTACGGTCGAAAAAAAAACCACGCCCTGAACGCATTGCCATGTTTCACCTCGCGGTGTGGGGGGGGGGGCCAGGATTCCAACCGCCTGCTGCTGAGCTTCAGGACCCACCGGAGGACCTTCATGGACGTGCTGGTCGAGCTGCTGGAGATGCGCGGCTGGAGCGACGTGAGTCTCGTGGTGTGCAACGGCGACGTCCACTGGCACGTCTACGAGCAGTTCCTCAGCCACATCTACGTCAACTCCACCTTCGACATCCAGACGGTGCTCAACGTCAACCCGGCCGTGGGCCACCACGGCCTGGCGGAGCAGCTGCGCACCCTGAGGGGCGCGTCGGACACCATCGTCATGTTCGGCTGCGAGGTCGCCGAAGCCGGGGCCGTGTTCCGCGCCGCCGCCACCGCTCGCCTCCTCGCGCCCGCCTACCAGTGGGTGCTGGGCGACCCGCAGGACATCGAGGGCCTCCGCAGGGAGGAGTTCCCCCTCGGGCTGCTGGCGTTCGGCCGGACCCGCGACCCGAACCTCTCCAACTACCTGGTGGACTCGTTCGAGCTGGTGGCGCGCGCCATCCGGACGGCCGTCATGGTGCGGCCGGACCTCACGCTCGTGCCCACGGTCACGAACTGCTTCGACCTGGACACGACGTCGGAGACGTCGGGACAGTACCTCTTCAGGTGAGAGGGGTGAAGTCATTTGCGGGCTGTGGCTCAGCGGTAGAGGGAGAAGAGGCTCGCGGTCGGAAGTGCCCGGGTTCAAATCCTGCTCTGGGGTTTAACGCCAGGGTCGACGAAATGAGTACTGGTCCGATTAGCATGGCTGGATACGTACGGTGCGAAAGAAGTTCAACATACATGTATACCACACCTCCGATTAGCATGGTGGGCTACATATGGTGCGAACGAAGTTTAACATGCATTCGAGTGGTTTAGTCTATGGCTAGACTCGATCTACCCTTCACTCCAAACGCAACCCTCCCTCCCCAACCCTGCCATAGGAATGTGGAATTTCCACCACTGGCGCAGGGCTGTAAACAGCAGACGAGTACTGCCTCGATGCTCATTTGAGAAATAAATCACTTTGACCTTGTTGATTGTACAATCATTGATGTTACACCACAGGAACTTGGGGGATAGAGGCGACATGGGGAGGCCTTCATCCACAAGTGGCTTGGCCATGGCTGATGATGACCATGATGAGTATTGTCCTACTAAGTTGGTTTTCTAGGTCATGCTGCCGTACGGCTCTCCCGGTGCGTTTCCAGGTCTTACCGCGCATTCCGCACTGATGTCCGACGTTTCACTCCACGTGCCACGGAGCTTCTTCAGGAAGTGAATGTTGACTACGGCGCTCCGAGCTGCCACTGGAACTCTTTGCTCACGTAGCCTGATGCCTTCTCAGCCCAATTGTGTGTAGACACACCGCTGTAGGCTTACATAGGCCTTCATCCAGCAGTGGATCGACCATGGGCAGCTCCTGCTGCTGCTGTTGCTGGTGACGATGATACACACACACCGTTCGAAACCTCCAGATGCACACTTTCATAGATCTGTGTTGACAATCTCAAAAAAGAACCGGTATAAAAATCCCCCCCCCCCCAAAAGAAATTGGATATTTCCCATGAGAACTAAAGACTCAGCTAGAGTATATTTTTGCCAAATTTCAGCATTCCCGCTCTCCTCGACCATAATTTGCATTAGCGACTCTCTCACTCGCTCACTCAAGGCCAGCTATATATATGAGATTTGGACTTAATAATTGAGCACCGGGCATTTGGTGCGCATGATTAGGATTGTAATGCGAAATATGCCACTCTTGGCAATGAGTGCAAAAACACTCAATTATCTCCTCTCTCGGCTTAAACCCCAAACGGTGTCCCTTTAATTACAAAGGGGACACTTTTCAAGAGATCACCAGACTTTGTCGCATCAGCCCAAAGTGGGCCATTTGCTGCCGAACCGTTACATAACGGTTTAACACGTAGGCTTTCGCGACCAATATTATGAATAATAAAGGTTTTTGGGTTAGATCACGTTATTTATAAATGTGTCGTAACCCTCCACCACCCGACACGGCCAAACAGTAAAAAATGTGTCACGTTTGCAAAGGACAAAATCATTCACTTCTTTAGCCCACCGGTGTGTCGAAGAGCGAATCAACATCATTAAAAATTTGAGTACGACGTTTCGCTGGTAATTACATCCAGATTCATCTGGCAAATCGCCCGATGAAGCTGGATGTAATTACCAGTGAAACGTTATGTAACGGTTCGGAAGCACCTTGAGAACGATTGTTTAAGGGTGCTTCATACGCTTAAATTATTATTATCAGTGAAAAGTCGATATTTCAGCATTCTTGGTGAAATAGAGCAGTGGCGTAACGGTGAGCACGCTTGCGCTCGGATGCCGACAGCTTGCACGCGTTCACCTTTACCCGCCTGCACTAACCAGGGCGGTGAGGTACGGTCAAAGCAACCGTCATGGCCGACAGGAAAATTTGAATGTTAGCATTTCATACATTTAAATACACAACAACAATAACAACAACAACAATAAAAACTCCCACGAGTTAAAGCTGCGACGTTTGCAGTTGCCGAGTAATATTTTAGGCAACGTTGACCGAAATAAATGCTCCCCTGCAATGGAAGGCTACAGTGGCTTCCATGGAGTGGTGACCTTTAAGTTTTTTTGCGTGCGCTGATAAATGGAACTTTGACGGGAGGAAAATTGGTTCCTTGTAGCAATAAGTTTGTTCATTCATCGAAAGACATTGCATGAAAAAACGCTTTGCAGGTCTCATTTTAATACAAAGCAGAGGTCTTTTGAATCATATGTCAAAATGCAAATGTAATCCAGACTAAATAACTAACTACTATCACGTGACATTTACGAAACGTTCAAACTTCAGGATGATTTTCATTGAACCTCCAAAACATTATTTTCTTTTTCAAAAGACATTTCCAGGGGTGCCGGAAGGATGAGGGGGGGGAGGGATATTTGTCAAATTTAAGACGCTGAAATTGCCCTGCAATGTGTTTTTTTGGGTCGTACCGCCAGCATGCTGTCAGGCGCTATGAGCCCAAAACAACAGAGCGGGGGTGGCGGGGGGGGGGTTTCAGACAAAAAAAAACGTTCGGCTCCTGGAGGGAGTTCACACAGAGCGGAGCGAAACCTCGGCTGTCACTGCTGACGTCGTGCCGGAGGCAGAGCGCGCGGCAACAACCTGGGAGCGCACCGCAGGGCCGTACAGCCACGGACGCGTGGCGCTGAAACCGTTTGAACGAAACTTTCTCTTTTCTTTAACTCGGTAAGGCCCCACTGCGCTGCCGTGTAGCTTCTTCTTGCAGAGGCGACCTGGCTATCATGGATGACAGCTCAACGACGTGGCTTCTTATCGACGTCGTCGTCATTATCATCACGTGGACATTCATGGCAGTCCAAATCGTTTTACACAGAAACTAATGCATGAAACAATGCAAGATCGATGTGAACAAAGCCGTCGACGTTTTAGGTCACGTAAGTAAAACAAGTGAAGGTGGTGCAGCCCTGCAATCGCTCGCTCGAGCCACTGCTGGCAGAAGGGGCCTCCACGAGAGACGGGCTCTCGATGGTGAAAATATCATGGAAGAGGATGGGAATACTGTCCACACTTTTTTCCCATCACAAACCACGACCCACAGATCAACCGACTGTCGATAACACTGGTCAACACAAAAAAGAAAATTCTGGCCTGGACTTTTGCAGCTGTTTTAGACTAATTTAAGGGTGCTGATTCCAAATCTGATCTCAGATTTGCTCTGTCACATCTCATGTTATGCTATCGGCATACCCCATTTTCATTGATTTTACCCGAAGTTAACTCTGTCACTTATGATTGCAAGTTGTTGCGCGTCAGTGACTGCTTTAGTGTTAAAACATGGTGTTGTATTTTTAGGATAGTGTGTTTATAATATAATTTTATGTAGATATCCACATTTATTTAATATTTTTCTTCTGCAGTTTTTTTTTTTAATGCAATATTTGATATCTCAAAAACCTGATGTGATAGACAAAAACTGATGCCAGATTTGGAATCAGCACCCCAAAATTACCTTTAAACTGTTGGAATACCTTATGCCAGAAAAAGTGTGTTGACCAGTGTAATTGATTTACAAACTATTTAAACTATTAACTATTTGTTATTCTTTGGGTCTATCGGTAAAGTCACGTGGATAGGTTCAAAGAAAATAACAAAAATCTACGACGTGTTGATCGCAACACAAGCGGTCGTCATCATGTCGGTAAAGTCACCGTTAGGAATTCTTGCAGTAACGAAAGCTTTGAGTCAAGATTGAACTATTTGTTATTTTACCAGGTAAGGCCCACTGAGCTGTATAGCGCTTTTTCAGAAGCGACCTGAATATCACAGAGGATTTCTCAACGAAGTGGCTCATCATCACGTGCAAACAGCAACAAACACTCTAAACGCGCATTGATTCCAAATGTGGAGCGAAACACCGGAGGACCTGGAGAAAAATCCACGCGACCACGTGGAGAGAGAGACGCAAACTCCGAATATACAGGTGTCAGGGTCGGTTTCGAATCCACGACCTCCTGCATACCAGGCAAGGTAGTTCACATCTCGCCACCGTGGCCCCCTTATTCACGCAGTGAAGCACTACCAAGTGCCGCAATTGTGGAACGCTCCGAGCATTGAGTTGTCTACGCCAACACGTCACTGTTAGAAAAAGTTAGATTCGCAGAGTGCTTTGTTTACATTTTGAATACAATTGAAAGGCAAATGCAAAATGCGGTTTTCTTACGCATATAAATGAGGCTATAGCTCAAGATACTTTACAAGCGGGATTTAAGAGGATTTTATTTTATTTTTACGTATGCAGGGACAGCAAGGTAGAATGCTAACGGGCTTGGGGAGACTATGTTCATAGCAGAAGATAAAATGAAGAAACTTTTAAAGGGAGAGAGAGAGGCACACAATCATCAGGCAGAAAATGCAGGTATTGATGATGTATTTGAACACAGGAGGAGTTTCAGCAATTGTGGACTGCCAGAAGAAAGGAATTATAGACCGTGGGGACAGTAGCAGAGACCATAATATAGTTTTTGCTAGCTTAGATCACGTAAATATCAATATATCGTTAAACCCGCCACCACCCGACACAGACAATTAGTAAGGTTAGTCTCAGACAATTTGATAACTCAGATTGTAAATGTTGTGGGTTTACTCTCCAACACACCGGTGTGCTGTACTAGTAACGAATTGGCATGTTTTGTTTACGTGACAAACCTTACTAACTGGCTGTGTAGGGTGGTGACGGGTTTAATGACACATCTATATATTTACGCAATCTAACCCCCCAAAAAACCCTATATTATGGATGATATTGGTCGTGAAAGCCTACGTGTAGCAGAGACGGTTATTCCTCCAACCAAATGAGAGAAGGTTGATTGAGAGGTTTTTTTTTTACGGAAAGGCCCTTTTCGCGGCATTGTTGTCATTGTTATTGTTGTTATTGCAAAGGACACCTTGGAATTTCAGAATTCGCAGGGCGACTGGGAATACATGCATTTCTACATCTGGGGCACTGCCTTCCCTAACAAAAGCCTCCATCTTGTAAAATGACTTAATACATCATCTGGCCACCTATTTAAAATCGAGCAGCTCTCCATACATAATG